CAAGTGTTCATGTACATATATAGTTCAACCCTGAGGATATGGGCTATAGGAAAAAGTACATCCAGAGGTGGGTATACTTTCTAAATCTTATAGGGCCTGGATATGTGTGATTGGTAATAGTGGTGAATGTGAGATGAGGGTGTGACATTACACAAAACTATATAAGGAAGATCTCCTTATCTCTTATACTTATTAGCATCAGTAGTATACCTGCTCAGGTGTATGATCTTGTAAGAATGGTGAAATGGAAATACATCTATTTCCAATTTGTTAGAAATATTTATATTTATGTCTGTACATTCATTTCATTAGTATGTAAATGTATGTACGTATAAATGTGTGCACAAATATGTGTATGCGTATATGTAAGTGTGTGTGTGTGTGTGTGTGTGCGTGTGTGTATGTGTGTGTGTGTGTGTGTGTGTGTGTGTGTGTGTGTGTGTGTGTGTGTGTGTGTGGTGTGTGTGTGTGTGTGTGTGTTGGAGTGTGTGTGTGGTGTGTGTGTGCGCGTGTGTGTGTGTATGTGTATGTGTGTGTGGTGTGTGTGTGTGTGTGTGTGTGTGTTGTGTGTGTAGTGTGTGTGTGTGTGTGTTGTGTGGTGTGGTGTGTGTGTGTGTGTGTGTGTGTGTGCGTAGTGTGTGTGTGTGTGTGTATAGTGTGTGTGTGTGTGTGTGTGTGTGTGTGTGTGTGTTGTGTGTGTGTGTGTGTGTGTGTGTGTGTGTGTGTTGTGTTGTGTGTGTGTATGTGTGTGTGTGTGTATGTGTGTGTGTTATGTGTGTGTGTATAGTGTGTGTGTGTATAGTGTGTGTGTGTATAGTGTGTGTGTGTATGTGTGTGTGTGTGTGTGTGTTGTGTGTGTGTTGTGTGTGTGTGTGTGTGTGTGTGTGTGTGTGTGTTGTGGTGTGGTTGTGTGGTGTGTGTGTACGTGTGTGTGTGTGATATGTGTGTGTTGTGTGTATGTGTGTGTGTGTGTGTATGTGTGTGTGTGTGTGTGTGTGTGTTGTTGTGTGTGTGTGTGTGTGTGTGTGTCTGTGTGTGTGTGTGTGTGGTGTGTGTGTGTGTGTGTGTGTGTGTGTGTGTGTGTGTGTGTATGTGTGTGTGTGTGGTGTGTGTGTATATGTGTGTGTGTGTGTGTGTGTGTGTGTGTGTGTGTGTGTGTGTATGTGTGTGTTGTGTGTGGCTGTGTGTGTTTATGTGTGTGTGTGTGTGTGTGTGTGTGTGTTGTGTGTGATGTGACTGTGAGTGTGTGTGTGTGTGCGCGTGCGCGCGCGTATGAATGTACGTATGCGTGTTCAGGTCCGCGTGTGCCCTAATAAACAACCAACCACGCGTCGCAGTGTCAGTAAATCTCAGAAGGAGATGGCCCACTTATCCCCCTCCCCCCCTCCCCCCACACGCCGATAAAGGCGCGCAACAGCTGTTCCCGCGGGCGTGAGGCCTCCGCCGCCCCTCCTCCATAGGCCCTCTTCTTGCTGGCCGGCCGTGGACTCCGATGAGGGCGTCATCTGGTTGAAGTCAACATGATGAAGTCAACATGATACATTTAGACAAAGCGTGTTGACAGTTTTTACTAAAATCGATGATGTTGAAACTTGTATCTGTTTCTTTGCATACATTAGCATATTTTCCCAAGAATTGTATTTTTTTTTCGCGTAAGAAAGAAAAAAATACAATAATAAAAAAGAAAGGAAGAAAGATTAAAAAAAAAAGAAAGATACAAAAATAGAATCAAAGTAAAAGATACAAAAAAAGAAAGAAAGAAAGAAACGAAAATAGATTCAAAATAAAAAAATACAATAATATAAAAGAAAGAAAGAAACGAAAATAGATTCAAAATAAAAGTTACAATACTAAAAGAAAGAAAGAAAGATTAAAAAAAAGAAAGATACAGGAAATAGATTCAAAAGAATTGTAATCTTTTCCGCGTAAGAAAGAAACGAAATTAGATTCAAAATAAAAGATACAATAATATAAAAAAGGAAGAAAAAAGATACAATAATAAAAAAGAAAGAAAAAGATACAATAATAAAAAAAGAAAGAAAAAAGATACAATAATAAGAAAGAAAGAAAGAAAGAAACGAAAATAGATTCAAAACAAAAGATACAAAAATAAAAAAGAAAGAAAAAGGATACAAAAACAGATTCAAAATAAAAGATACAATAATAAAAATGAAAGATACAAAAATAGATTCAAAATAAAAGATTCAATAATAAAAAAGAAAGAAAGAAACAAACAAAAATAGATTCAAAATAAAAGATGCAATAATAAAAAAGAAAGAGAGACAAAAATAGATTCAAAATAGAAGATACAATAATAAAAAAGAAAGAGAGAAAGATTTAAAACAGAAAGAAAGATACAAAAATAGATGCAAAATAAAAGATGCAATAAAAAAAAGAAAGAAAGAAAGATACAAAAACAGAGAAAGAAAGATACAAAAATAAACAAAATAAAAAACAATAATAAAAAAGAAAGAAACAAAGATAAATTTCAATGCGCTAATGCAGGAGAATTACGTTAGTCTTCGCCGATTGCTCATGGCACGCGCTGTCATGCGGTGCTGCCCTCGGTGTCATGCTTCCCGAATGACAGTCCTCGAAGCTGCATTTGTGAATCACGAGCAACAACAGACAGGAGATACGAAATTCTCGGAAGCAACATCGAGTGCAACCATAAATACTTTTTTACATCTTGCATCCATGACCTCTTTTGCCGCCCCCCCCCCCCTCCACTTCATAAGAAAAAGAGAGAAGAGAAAAAAAAACGTAGCACATATCCCTTTTGCCTAGATAATAAGGATAATAATAATAAAATAAAACAGAAAAAGGAAAACAAACCCATATATACATCTCATTAACCAGCAAAAGAGTCAACAAAACAATAAACAACTGAAGCCCCTTCCCTCCGCGGATTCGAAAAGGGCCGCAATGGCAGCGGGAGAGCAGCGCCATCTGCGATCTCCGACATCCGGGACTCTCTCGAGCAGCAGATTGGAGCGGCCCTCTCGGGACCAACCCTAATTCATTAGCAGAGTAAGAAACACCTGGTCAGCTTCAAAATCAAAACAAAAAAAGCCGCGGAGGCAAAAAGGAGCAATCTCCAGAACGAGCATCTCGAAGCATAATGACCGAGTTCATTACACAACGCAACAATAAAAGGAACCCGACCGCGCTCTTCGCATTCGCTTGCGGCTCCGGTGGTGGCGGCGGCGGCGGCGGCGGCGCGGCAGTGCCAAAGGGACGGAGCGGCAAAGCGGTAAAGTGGACACTGGCAAAGCGGATGTGAAGCAATGGAAAAAATGGAACAGTGGTAAAGTAGCACAGTGGCAGTGACACGGTGGCATGGGGCGAGTTTTCTTAGTGGCAAAACCAGCATATTGGCAAACTGACATCGTGGAAAAGTGGCAAAGTGTCCGGCACAACGCGAACGACTTAATACAACAACATCTCGCTAATTGTGCTTCGTGGCCCGGGCTCCCCTCCCCCACCCCTTCCCCTCTAGGCTAGGTGGGGGGGGAGGGAAGGGGGGGAACAGCAGCAGGCGCTCGCAATTTATCGTCGCAGAATATTTACACGCGGACATACTTTTTTCACGTATTAGATTTTCCGGCGAATTTTTCATCTGGAGCAGCAACGCGGGCGGCGGCGGCCGGGCGGTGGGCGTGCGGGCGGGAAAAACTTGGAGACGGAGGCGACGCGGAGGGAGGGCGGCGGAGGTAGGGGAGGGGGGGGGCGTTGATGGGCTCATGAGATAGGAAGGGGAAGGGAGGGAGGGAGGGAGGGTGAGGAGGGAGGAAGGATGAAGGGGGAGAAAGAAAAAGGAAGGGGAAGGGGGAGGGACTGAGAAGGAGGGTGAGGGAGGGCGAAGGAGTAAGGAGGGAGGGAAGACGAGAGAGAGACAGACAAACAGATAGATAAATGGATAGATAGACAGACTGATAGATAAAGACTGAGAGT